CGTATTCCACGTGATCTAATCTTACTAACCAGTCTACCATGAGGAACCTTGTTGAACACGTGATTGAAATCCATATAGATCACGTCCACTGCTCTGCCTTCAATCCTCTGTTACTTCTTCAAACAACTTCATCAAGTGAGAGAGAACAATTTTCCATCCACAAAGCCATGCTGACTATCCCTGATCAGTCCTTTCCTTTCCAAATACACGTAAATCCTGTCCCTCAGGATTCCCTCCGACAACTTGCCCACCACCGATGTCAGGCTCACTGACCTATAGTTCCCCGATTTCTCCTTACCACCTTTCTTAAATAGTGGCACATTAGTCAACCTCCAGTCTCCGGCATCTCACCTGTGGATACTGATGATACAAATATCTCAGCAAGGGGTCCAGCAATCACTTCCCTTCTTCCCCCCACAGTTCTAGTGTACACCTGATCAGGTCCCAGGGACTTATCCACCTTTATGCGTTTTAAGTCATCCAGCACCTCTTCCTCTGCAATATGGAGATTTTTCAAGATGTTGCTATTTATTTTCCCTACGTTCTCTAGGTTTCATATCCTTCGCCACAGGAAACACTGATGCAAACGGGAGGCAATAGCTTATGATATTATTGCTGGACTATTAATCCAGAGACCCAGATAACGCTCTGGGGACCCAGGTTCAAATCCTACCACGACAGATGGTGGAATTTGAATTCAATAAAAAATATCTGGAATTAAGAATCTAAATGACCATGAATCCAATGTCAATTGTCAGAAAAACCGATCTGGTTCACTAATGTCCTTTAAAAGGTAAGTACCATCCTTACCTAATCTGGCCTACATGCGACTCCAGACCCAGAGCAATATGGTTGACTCTTAACTGCCCTCTGGGCAATTAGGGATGGGCAATAAATGCTGCCGAGCCAGCAACGCCCTCGTCCCATCAATGAATAGAAAAAAACTCTTAGCATCTCCTCCATCTCTTGTGGTTCCACACATAGGTAGCCTTGCTCATCTTTAAGGGGCCCTATTCCCTCGCTAGTTACCCTTTTGCCCTCCTGATTTCCCTCAAGTATACTCCAACTGGCTTTATACTCAAGGGAATCAGTCGATTTCTGCTGTCTATACTCGATATATGCTCCCTTCTTATTCTTGACCAGTGCTTCAATTTCTCTCGTTATCCAGCATTCCCTACACCTACCAGCTTTGCCCTTCAACCTAACAGGAACATACTGTCCCTGGACTCTTGTACCACACTTTTGAAGGCTTCCCATTTTCCATCCATCCCTTTACCTGCGAACATCCGCCCCCAATCAACTTTTGCAAGTTCTTGCCTAATACCATCAAAATTGGCCTTCCTCCAATTTAGAATGTTAATTTTTTGATCCGGTCTATCCTTTTCCATCACTATTTAAAAACTAAATCGAATTATGGTTACTGGCCCCAAAGTGCTCTCCCACTGACACCTCAGTCACCTTGCCCAGCCTTATGTCCCAAGAGTAGGTCAAGTTTTGCACCTTCTTCTACTAGGTACATCCACATACTGAAGCAGAAAATTTTCTTCTACACACTTAAATTCCTCTCCATCCAAGCCCTGAACACAACAGCAGTCCCTGTCCATGTCTGGCAAGTTAGAATCCCTTACCATAACTACCCTGTTATTCTTACAGATAACTGTGATCTCCTTACAAATTGGTTTTTTAATTTCCTGCTATGGGGGAGTTCTACAGTACAGTCACAATAAGGTGATCATCCTACCTCGTTCTCTGCTTGGTTCCTGCCTGCCCTGACTGTTTTACTTGCCCCTTTCCCCAACTGTACCAGTCTCAGACTGATATCTTTCCTCACTATCTCTCTGGGTGCCACTGCCACTCCGTTCACGCCAAAACATCATACTCGTTTGCAGATGGGGATAGTCACAGGAGACTCCTGCGCAACCCATCTCCCTCTCCTATCTTATCTAGAGTAACCTACCTGACCTGTAACTTGAGTTTATTTCCCGTGCAACTCCGTAATTGCCATCCATCACACCTCCTAGTTCCTGCAAATTCCTCTAACTGCCGCTCCAACCAATAGGATTCACAACCAAACATACTTCCTGCAGACAATCATCAGTAAAACGGAAACTCTCCCTAATCTCCCACAGCCGACAGGAAGAGCACATCACTCGAAAGGCCTTCTTGGCACCTCAAAAATCTACAGACCCAGACAACAGCAGTCTTACCACTCTAAAAACACTGCTCCAGGCTCACTTCGTCCCTATGCTTTTATATTTTTAAAGTTCAATCAAGACAGATCTCCATAAAAACATAATCAAAAAAGAAATCACCCTACTCACTATTGTACATTTACAAAAACAAAACCCAGCAAGGTTATATTTAAAAAAAGCCACTTCACTGCTCCCCTGCTGTGAGCTCCCCCACACAGAATTCTCCAAGGTCAGTTGTGAATTTCACTGTTTGTTAATTTTTCTTAGACAAACTCTGATGTCCAGAGATACTTGAACCAAACAGCAGAGGCAGTTAGCTGTGCAGGTTAACTTCTCTGTTTGATTTGTTTCCCATATTGTCACTGCCTGAGTCTCTCTTCCTCCATTTTTAGTGCCATTGTTTTGATTTTTTCCTCCCCGAAGTTCCAAAACAATGCAACAGCTTATAAAAACAGCTCTAACACTGAAAATACTTTAAAAAAGCAGCTCTTCAGACAATTTTTCCCACCCTCCAGAGCCCAAAGACAAAAAAGCGCCGTTGGACAGACAAAGGAGTGGATAATGGTCAGCCTCGGAAAATGAATAGCTGCTCATGGGGACTATTGGCTAACAATAATTAGTGTGTAACAGCAGACCATGTGATAACAAGACCTGATGTGTGGGGGCTGGGGTCAGAACAGAGGAGAAGGTGCCCCAAGACCTAAAATTGTTCAATCCTATATTCAGTTTAGAAGGCTGTGGAGTTCCCAAGAGGAAAACGAGGTGCTGTTCTTTCAGCTTGTGCTAAGCTATGCTGGAGCGCTGCAGTAAATCCAAGACAGAGATGTTGGCCAGGGAATGTGTTGGTTTGTTTGAAGTGTTGCCTGCCTGGGCTATCTATCTCCACCTATTGTCTAGTCCTTACCCCCGCCCCACCCTATCTTCAGCATTATAACCAACATTTTCCTAGGTACGATCAGTTCCGAGGAAGGGTCACTGGATCCAAACTATTAACTCAGATTTCTGTCCACAGATGCTGTTAGACTTGGGGATTTTCCACTGAGGTCTATTCTTAAAATTACACATAGATCACCTTACAAAAAAAAACCCAGCATTTAAAAAAGGTGCGGTCAATGTCCAATGAGACTCCAACACATACACCATGGCTAGTTTAATTTGAATTACTGATAAAGTTTGTAAGGAATAACTGATAAACAGCAAGTCATCTTAATACTGCAGTTGAGAGATATTTTTCCGATGAATCACTGACAGGTCCCAAAGTTTGAAGAAGTGCAAACCACAGATTTATACAAGGAAAAGACACACCACTCAAAGAATTTAACTATTTCAAGCCACATTTATTTGAGATTTATCAATATAAATGGTACAAATGTACTGAAGCTGCACCAAAAAGGGACTGTTACCCACTCCTGCATTTTCTGATGCTTACATCGTCAACTCCTGCAAAAACAAAAGCGTTATCAGAATCTTACAATATTCACAATCTATCACAATCAGCCATAAAGATTAAAGCTACAACAGTAAAAGAAATTTGGAAACTGCTATTCTTCATTGCTAATGTCAACATTGACTTCACTGCAACTCTTAAATTACAAATTCCTCCTTCCCCAGAAAACCAAAAAAAAAATGCAAACAACAACTCACCATAATAGCATTTACAATATCGTTGTTGTTATTTTTCAATGCTCGGACAGCCTTAGCCCTGGACACATTGGCTTGAGACATAACTAGTTCTATGTCCTTAACCTCCACACCAGTCTCATCAACCTATAAAGAAATTAAGAAGTTAGTTCCATTTCCTACATCTGTCTCCCTTTCTAAAAAAAAAAGGGCCACTACTGTTGTCACCACCATGGAGAAATTACAAGGTGAAAATACACCCATCTAAAATGATAAAGTTTCCATTAGCAGACCACAGCATTCTTAAATTTCAAAAATATGCAAGATTT